ACCTCTGCACCTAGATGCAGGAAGTGCACTCGGGGTGGGGTAAGGTTCGGTTAGGTGCAGCTGTGGGGTAGGATTAGGGCAAGGGTTAAGTTTGGGTAGTAAGGGTACTGGGTACCTATTCAGATCCAATAATAGTGGATCTAATTGCCTTCCCTCCCAAACTACTTAATTCCCAAACTCTACCCTAATTAGCCAAAAATAAAGAAACTTTGAGTAGTGAAAAATATCCTAATTTCTTATAAAAAAGAGTGTACACTCATATTTTTTATTTTTAACTGAAAAGTTCTTTAGAGCTTTGTAAAAATGAGGACATGGTCCTCTATTTCGCCAGCCCTATGAATTCAATAACAAGTTAACCTCGCACCAAGGACGTGAATGTTCCAACTTTACCCCTTCTTTTTTTCCCAATCGTTCTCCGTTGAACTAGTCCTTCATTGTCATCAAGGGTCATTTCATCGTAAACGAGTCCTCTGGAATCATGAAGGCCATACTGCTCTCTGATTCTCTTGTGCATAGCAAGGTAGCCTAATAACTGATCTGGACCATCTTTTTCTGCATTAAATGCCTCACCCACTTGATCTAAAGTTTTATCGTAGTCGACAAATTTTATTCCAAAATGTTTCATGCGCCTACTTAATGTACCAGGGCTCCAAGCGTACTGAGAAAAATCCTTTTGCAGAAAGTCAAGAATTTCAGCTCTTCGAAGTTTCTGGCAACCATACAGCGAATAAATTTTTGGAGTTCGTTATCCTCTGTCCATTCGTTATTTCTTTTATATTCTGCAGCCATATGGAGCAAAATCTCCCTTTCTTGGCTACATAAGCCAAAGGTAATTTATTTAGAAAATCAAAAAGGGCGCGAAAAGCTGCATGGAAATGAGGCGCTTATTCTTGCAAAGCATTGTGGTCTATGAGAACGCTGGGCCGATCGTGACATTTCATTTTGAAAATGAAAACGAAATTGTTTCTTTTGACAACTTTCAATGTGATTTTCAGAAACAAAAAGAAAAAATTCTATTTGAAACTTGGAAATGGAAATGTTTCTTTAATTTTTTTCTTATGTTTATTCTGCTTTTTGACATGTTATTTTAATCTTCAAGAAAATAATTTGAATTTAATGTCAAATATATCACAAATATCTGTGATTTTTTTATACTTCATAGAATATGTTTCTGTTTTTTGAATGAGAATGCTGGGCCACCATACGCTGGGCCGATCGTGACATTCCATTTTGAAAATGAAAACGAAAATGTTTCTTTTGACAACTTTCAATGTGATTTTCAGAAACAAAAAGAAAATATTCTATTTGAAACTTGGAAATGGAAATGTTTCTTTAATTTTTTTATTATGTTTATTCTGCTTTTTGACATGTTATTTTAAACTTCAAAAAAATAATTTGAATTTAATGTCAAATTTACCACAAATAAATGTCAAATTTACCACAAATATCTGTGATTTTTTCATATTTCATAAAATATGTTTCTGTTTTTTGAATGAGAATGCTGGGCCACCATAACTATCAAGAACATCAAAAGAACAGGCAACTGAATATCATAAAACTGAATAAAACAGAAAACTAATTGCATAACAATAGCACCACACCGACC